TGAGGTGGTGTCACTACGGAAGTAGATTGCCCAACCTTCCTTCCGAGGAGTGGCTGGTGGATTTGAACCGCCAGCTTTCTGGTTAGCAGTCAAATGCCTTAGACACTGCACCACCAGAGCTCCTGAGAAGTAATTAAGATCACATCATTTTCCTGCTTATACTCTTCCCATAGCTCCCTATCTCTTTACTCAAGACAAGTTCTTAACAGTGGCTTACAAGACCCTAGTACATGACATGAGCCCATTGCTTTTCTTACCTATTACTGTTCTCCTTACTCTATCTAAGGAGTCCTGGTGATACAGTGGTTAAGTGCTCAGTTCTGGGTCGAACCCACCAGCTGCTCCACAAGAGAAAGGGCAGTCTGTTTTTGTAAAGATTTCAGCCTTGGAAACCCTATAGGGCGGGCAGTCCTGTAGGGGTACTATGAGTTAGAATCAACTGCATGGAAACTGGTTTGGTTTTGGAATTTTTGCTCTTTCTTTCCAGAAACAGTATCCTCTTCTCTGTTGCTTTAATATTCTAGGCATGCTCCTGCCACTGGGCTTTTGTACTTACTGTTCTGGTTGTGATACTTTTTCCTTGTAACAATATTGCTCCTTTCCTTACTCTTTTCAGGTCTTTAATCATGTTATCAGTGAACCCTTCCCTGACTTTTCCCTTCCCTAAAATTTCACCACAACTCCCATCCCCCTTCCACTGCATGTGTGTGTAGGTATTCTCCTTCCTGCTTTATTTTTTCTACTTAGCTCTTCTCACTAAAATATGTTTCAGTGATTTTTCTTGTTTCTTGTTTGCATCTCCCACTAGAATGCCAGCCAGATCTATGAGGGCAAGGGTTTTAGTATGCTTTGTTCTGTGTCTGTCTCCCCAGCACCTAGGCCAGGGTCTGGCAGATGCTCATTAAATGTTTGCTGAATGAAAGTACACTGGGAAGATGGGGTGTTATGGAAATCAGAGGTAGAGAGAACAGGGTCAGCAGTGTGAAAATGGTGCTAAGAGGTCAAGTGAGATAAAAGAAAGAAGTATTTATTGTGTGTATCAACAAGGAACAGCAGAAAGGTGAGAGTATACACAGCAATTCTAAAAAAAAATTTTTATAGATTTGGTTATGATAAAATATCTCTGGATGCTACTGGGTGGCTGGGGTCGGGAGGGAGATTTTTCACTTTATACACATCTGTACCATTTGAATTTTGCACCATGGACAAGTGTTCCGTATTAGAATAAAAGCTGTTATGAAGCTTCATAGTTTAAAAAAAGAAAAAAAAGACTGTGAAGGGGACAGAGAGACAGGCAGGAAGGAGGGAGAAGCAAGTCTTGTCTTTTTAATTTGTGAAGATGGATGAGCTTGTTTAAATGCTAATGGAAGGAGAAGGGAAAGAGGGAGAGGTTGAAGATACTGGAGAAAGAAGGGATAATTGAGAAGGTAGGAGAGATGTGACCCAGGTGGAAAAGCTGGCTTTGGAAAGAAGGAAGGATAGCAGTTTTGCTGTAAACAGGAGAAAAAGATGGGTGCAGAAGGAAGTAGATTTGATGGTGGAAAGTTGAGGTGGTTCACATCTGATTATTTAATTTCCTCTAAGAAGTAGGAGGCAAGGTCATTTGCTGAGAGAGAACAGGAAGTTAGTGGGGTCAGAGATTTGAAATAGGCACTATAGAGAATGGGAGAGAGAACTGAGTAGGGAAATACAGGATTGCCAGGCAGCATAACCCAGGTATTTTGGACAGTATGAATTTATTCTGGTACCAACCCAGTTGGGTGATTTTTCTCCAGCCATGTTCAATGATTCAGTTTTTTGTAGTTGGATTGATCCAAGACTGGTATTTGCACATGTGGGTGATGGAAAGGCAATGGGGCAAGTGAGTTGAAAATACCTGTAAGAGAATGGTTGAAGTAAGGAATTCTGAAATCTAAGCTAGACAGAGGAGGAGGGGAAAGTCTAGAGTGGATGGATGGAGGAAAAGTAGGACAATCAAGGGATTGGGAGAGCAAAAAATGGGTGTAGTGAGTGATTGCTGGATGGATACATTGTTACGGTCAGAGAGTGTGATGTATGAAATGTATTCCAGAGATGAAGGGATTGCAGGTCTGGGTTATGGCCATGAGAATTTAGTGGCTGAAATGGGAGTAGAGGTAACAAGTTTCAGAAGATGAAAAGGTCAAAGAACTAAGAGTCCAGGATGTTGGACCTCCACATTGATACTGATGCCATGTGGAATATTCATTGGCAGGACACAGGATGGAGCAGAATCTGTGAGCAGATTTATCAGTGAGTGAAGAGGATATGTTAGGGAGGTGAGTAGTGATGAAGAAGAGTAAAAAGTGGTATGGCTGGATGGTATGAAATTCAGAGGACGAAGGGACTTTACTTAAGGGTAGAGGAGAGATGATCTAGAAAACTCACTGGAGAGTTAGAGCGATGTCTATTCACAGCCTAGCCCTGAGTTATGAGACCATGGGAGAATGTGCAGCCTGTACCTGAAAAGGCTCTAGCATGCCTCTCCAGCTTTCTGTGGCAAAGGACCAGGATTTTATTTTTCAATCCATAATGAACCAATTCTTTTATAAAATTAAAAAATGAGTTAACAAAAAAAATGATACGGAGAAAAAATATAAGTCCTGATTTTTTATTAATAGAGTCAACAGAATAATATTACTCTGTCAAATTGCTGTAAAGTTTCTAGATACTTAACTCTCACTTTGAGTAGCATTGGTATAGAGGAAATGGTTTTCTCATAAGAAAAGCTGGGTTCAGTTAAGTCAGAAAGCAAAGGATGAGTTAATTGAAATGATGGGTTAATTGAAGGGAATGTGAATGTAGAGAATTTTGTTTACCAGGGAATGGGGTTATTAAAGGTACAAGAGAAAAGTTGGGGAAGGAGGAGAACAGTGGGTGCTGGGAGTAGAGAAAGCACTTAGCCAAATGGGCATGAAAATTCAAGAAAGATAGATGCCTGAAGGGGATTGTTCCTTGAACAATGTCCAAGGATAAAAGAGATGAAATAGAAAGCATGTAGTCCATGAAAATGAGTTAATGCTACAAGGTATAGGGAATGTATTTAAAGAAAGTTTGTGGAGAAGGTTCAGGTCTGGACTGGGCAAAAGAATAATGTTGTTGTTGTTATTATGTGCCGTCGAGTCGGACCGGACTCATAGCGATCCCTCCTTGGGTTTCCGAGGCGGCATCAGTACGGAAGTAGATTGTCCAACCTTCCTTCCGAGGAGTGGCTGGTGGGTTTGAACCGCCAGCCTTCTGGTTAGCGGTCAAGTGCCTTAGGCACTATGCTACCAGAGCTCCCGAGAATAATATTAGCTATCACTTATTGAAGGAGCTCTGGTGGCGTAGTGCCTAAGGCACTTGACTGCTAACCAGAAGGCTGGTGGTTCAAACCCACCAGCCACTCCTCTGAAGGAAGGTTGGGCAATCTACTTCCGTAGTGATGCCGCCTCGGAAACCCAAGGAGGGGTCGCCATGAGTTGAGTCCGACTCGAGGCACATAACAACAACAACATCACTTATTGATTACTTATTGCATACCAGGCTCTGTGCTCACTGTGCTAGGTGCTTTACATACATTATCTGATTGAATCTTTCCTTAAAAATGTCTCCAATGTTGGTGATGCTATCCCCAACTTACTGATATCCAACAGGTTTATAAGCATAGGATTAATAGTCAGGAAGGTGGTATTGTCCTTATTCCAGGAAGTCAGTTTATGAGAATGGTTTTGGCTGAAACATTTTGAGCTCTACCCTGTTTTATGTTCTGATATGGATGGTGCAAACAGTTCATGAGCTCAGCTGCTAACTGAAAGTCTGGAGGTGAGGTTGGTGGTCCTATCCACCCAGAGATGCCTTAGAAGAAAGGCCTGGCAATTTACTTCCAAAGACTTAGCCATTTAAAATCTGTGGAGCACAGTTCTACTCTGATACACATGGAGTTGCCATGAGTTGGGATTGACTCGATTGCAACTATTTTTTCTTTTGCTACATGTACCAGGTCAAATATTTTAGAAGATTAGTCTTAACCAGTAGGTATTTAGAGGCCTGGTAATGACTTCCCTGTTGAGGAAGGGTTTAATTTTGTGCGATTACTACTTCATGTACATGCAAATTCAGATTTTCAAAATTAAATAAATCCTTTTTAGACTTTAAAATATTAAATAAGTGACACATGTTCATTGTAGAAAATTAGAAAATGCAGATAAAACCAAAAATCAAACCCACTGCCATTGGGTTGATTCCGACTTATAGTGGTAGTGACCCCTGTTGGGTTTCCGAGGTGGTGAATCTTTACAGAAGAAGATTGCCCAGTCTTGCTTCTGTGGAGTGGCTAGTGGGTTTGAACCACAAACCTTCTGGTTATTTGTCAGATGCCTTGGTCACTGTGCTACCAGAGCTCCTTAATGCAGATAAGGAAGAGAAAAAAAGATGTTTGTATTCATTCACTCCAAGAGAACCACTGTTGACTATAAAATGTTCTTTTTCAGTCCTCTTCATTTAATACAATGTCTCATTAAATTGTAAAATTTTGATTACATGTTAAAATGATAATATTTTTGATATACTGAGTTAAATAAAATATTAAAATTAATTTCACCTATTTCTTTTTACTTTTTTAATATGGGTATTAGAAAGTTTAGAATTATATCTTTGAATCACATTAGATTTCTGTTAACATTGCTCTAGAGTCTCTTCTAGCTTTGACCATTCTGAGTCTTCATGAATTTACTGTGTGTGCATTTTTAGCTTTGTCATAATCATTTTAGACTGGTGTGGTCCAGTAGAACTTTCTGCATTGATGAAAATGTTCAAGTGGCTACTGAGCTCTTGAAATATGGTTAGAGTGGAGGGACTGAATTCTTAATTTAATTTAATTTTAATTAATTGAAATATAAATACCCATATATGCCTAATAGCTACTGTAATGGACAGCACAATTCTAGACCTTATGCAAAATAAAATTTCCACAAACTGTGGCCGAATTTTTTCTTTTCCAGTTGTGTTGGTGTTGAAGAGGAGAAGGCTGCTGACATTGACCTCTACCACTGCCCAAACTGCGAGGTTCTTCATGGGCCCTCTGTTAGTAAGTAGATCTTGAGGTTTCTAAGAGAAGGGATTTCAGAAAGAGGCAAAGCAAAGGAAACTTCACAGTGTGATTACCTTTGCCTGAGTACTTCAGATTTGTCTCCCTTAGGAAATAGTAGAAGCCTGTGAAGTCTCTGTAGTCCAGCAGCTGGTCCACTTAGAGGCTTCACCTCCCTCCTGTCCTAGGGATTCCACAGATAAAGCATCTATCCTCGCCAATAACTTTCTTGAATCTTTGATGGCCTTGTTGACTCCAAATACTCAAAGGGGTTGTTAGATTGCAAGAGAAGCAGAATCTGCTGGGATCTTTGCTCTTGGATCCATAGCTCATGGCCATTCTGATTCGTGATCTAATGTCCATTCTGATTCTTGATCTCATGTCTTTTCCCGGCTTAGTGAAAAAACGCCGTGGATCTTCAAAAGGGCACGATACTCACAAGGGAAAGCCAGTGAAGACTGGAAGCCCTACATTCATTCGGGAGCTTCGGAGTAGGACCTTTGACAGGTGAGGACCCCTCCCCAATGGCTGGTAACCTCCAGGGCTCTGGGAGGCTGAGACCCATCTCTTCCCAGATTTCCCACTGGATGTTCCATTATGTGCCTTCTCTATTTGGGAACATCTTCAGGGTTCTGTGAGTTCCCTCTGGGGAGGGATCTTCTATTTTGGTCAGTTTCTAAGAAAACAGTTGCTAGAGTTAGATTTGTTATACAGAATATATTAAGGTCTACTTGCAGAAACTTTTGGTAGGTTGGGATGCAGTAGTCCCCTAATTCAGCAGAAGATATTTTCGTGCACTCAAAAAATATTAGAACTAGAAAGTCTTAAGAGATAAGAAAGTTAAATTCTTTCATTGTAGAGAAGAAGAATCTTTTAAAATATAAAAAATATTTGAGTGGACATATATTTCTTTAACAGTCATGAAAAATAATTTTTATTAAGCTGACCTTATTAAAAATAAATTACTTGAATTTAGCAGAAATAGTGAGTTAAAAAATAAATGAATAAAACACTCTTGTTTTTTAATTTTTGAACCATTTTCAGCTGTTTTGTAATTGAAGTGTTGTTAGGAATTATAAGTGTTTCTCTAACTTAACATTTTATACACACACACACACACACATAATCTATTTAAAAGAAGTGAATCAGAAGTAAGTCTCCTTTCTACCCCATACCCCTCATGTCCCTTCCCCAGAATCAACCAATTTCTTTTGTATTCCTTTCTTTCCCCCTTTTAAATAATACTTTATTGTGTTTCCAGTGAAGTTTTACACCTCGTTTTTAGGATCCTATTCAACAATTTCTGCACAAATTATTCAGTGATACTGGTTACATTGTTCACAATGCATGAACATTCCCATTACTTCCATTGTGGTTGTTAATTTCCATTAATGTAGTTTCCCTGCCTCCTTGCATTCTCATCTTTGTTTTAAACTAATTGTTGACCATTTGGTCTCATATGGATGATTTTTTAAAGGAGCATAGTTCTTGTGCATTCTTTCAATAGTAATTACTGCATGTGTGTGTGTGTGTATGTGTGTGTGTCCCCCCCCTTTTTTTCATACAAATGGAAACTTTCTATATTGTTCTTCACCTTTCTTTTTTTTTTTTTTTCTCCTTATATATATTGGAAATCAATCCATAACAGTACGTCAGTACATATAGATGTTCTTCATTCTTTTCATGGCTGTTCAGTATCCCATTTTATGGATATATAGTAATTTATTTAACCAGTCCTCTGTTGATAAACATTTCATTCCAGTATTTTGCTATTAGAAGTTTAATGACTAAAAGTAAATTGCTAAGTCATAGAGTATATATGTACTTTTAAATGTTTATAGATATTTTCAAATTGTCTCCAAAGTGGCTATATCATTTTATATCCCCACAAATAGTGTGTGAGGGTAGCTATTTCCTTATATTCTGGCTAACAATGTTTATTATGACTTTTTTCTTTTTTTTAATCTTTTTTATAAGATTAAAAATGTGTTTCTATTTGTATTTCTTTAATTATGAAGGTGAGTATATTTTTGTATGCTTATAAGCCATTTTAAATTTTTTCTCTGTTAACTGCCTATGTTATTTGACAATCTTTTTATTGGGTTACCGACTCTATTTCATACTGATTATTAACAAATCTTTATATATTAAAGAAAGTAGTTCTTTGGCATACATGTTGTAAATATCTTTTTCCTGGTTTGTGTCATTAAACTTCATCATACTTTTCCTTGTAGAAAATTTAATTTTTACGTAGTTAAATTTATTACTATTTTTAAATTCCCATTTTTTTAGTTAATAGCATGTGTTGAAGAAATTGTTATAAAAATTATTTTTGCTTTTTTAATCAATCTTTTTATTTGACAATTTTTAAAAACTTGGTGATTGCTGCTCTGGGTTAGAACAAATTGGCTGAACTTCTCAGATATGTCTTTTCCTTCTGGGTAGGCTGTTGATTGTTTTCTTCCCTGGTTATCCAGAGATATCTTATTGATATCCTGGGTTTAGTTCCCCACCTCTGCCCATGACCTAGCCTCTTGCCTTGTACAAGTCATTTTCCCTGGCACATAAAGTTCATGCCATTAGCTGCCAGCCTATATTGTGTCCCCTCAGAAAGTTCCCATTTCCCACCCCTCTCACCTCTTGTGTAAATGGTAACATCCAGTGAAGCCTTCAGTGGGCAGGGCCTCTGGGGGCTCATTGTTTCTCTTATGTGGTCCACAGCTCAGATGAAGTTATTCTGAAGCCCACTGGAAGTCAGCTTACTGTGGAATTCCTGGAAGAAAATAGCTTCAGTGTACCCATCCTGGTCTTGAAGAAGGATGGGCTGGGGATGACGCTGCCCTCACCGTCATTCACTGTGAGGGATGTGGAACACTATGTTGGTAAGATACCACAAGCCCTCTTTTTTTTAATATACATTTTTTTAAAAAATTTTATTTTATTGTGAAAATATATATAGTAAAACCCACTGACATTGAGTCAGTTCCAACTCATAACAACCCTCATTGGATTTCCAAGGCTGTAAATCTTTGTGGAAGCAGACTGTTCTATCTTTCTTCCACAAAGCAGCTGATGGATTTGGACCACTGATCTTTTGGTTAGAAGCCATATGCTTTAACTACTATACCACTAGAGCACCTTACATTCAGTAAAAGATTGACTGATTCAGCAGTTTCTACGTGTGTAATTCAGTGACATAGATTACATTCTTCAACTTATACAACCAATCTCACTCACTATCCTTTTCCAAATTACTCTACCACTATTAACATAAACTCACTATCCTCTAAGCAAAACTATCCCCCTGTCGCCCTCCCTCACACCTCTGGTAAACACTAATTTTTATTTTCTATGTATTTGCTTATTTTATAGAAGGGAGACCATCCAGTATTTGTCCTCTTGTGACTGACTTATTTCACTCAGCATAATGTTTCCAAGCCACAGGCCCTCTTTTTTTTATTATTTTTATTGTGATTTGGGTGAAAGTTTACAGAACAAATTCATTTTCCATACAGCAGTTCATACACATTGTGTCTCATGACATTGACTGCAGTTTCCCACAAAATAACAGCTCTCTTCCCACTTCCTCCCCATAGTTACCTCTTCACTGTGTCCTTCCCTCCCATGTACTCCTGCCCCCCATGGTGTCTCCCTTTACATACACCGCTCTTCTGTTCTCCTATGATTGATCTTTCCAAGGAGTGTATCTACCTGATGTAGATATTCAGCCCATATGCCTGTCTGTTTGGCTGAAAGCCATAGAAGTGAGTTCAATTTCAGACCTGAAGGGCAGCTAGGGGCCATAGTCTCAGGAGTCACATCAGGCTCTATTGATGAAACCAAATCTAGTCTTTTTTTTTTTTTTTTAAAATAATTTTACGTTTTGTTCCACATTGTTCTCCCACTCTCTCCAGGATCTCCTACACAGATTCCCCTCTGAGTAGTTGACAGTGGTAGCAGGTACCATCTAGTTCTTCTGGTCTCATGGTTATATAGGCTGATGATTGCATGGTGTACCAGTCCCTTGGACTAATTGTTTCCATGCATCTTTGGTTTTCTTCATTCTTTGCTCTGGACGAGGAGAGACCCATCGTTGTATCTAGATAGCCATTTGCAAACTTTTAAGATCCCAGTCGCTACTCATCAAAGTTGGATGTGGAACAGTGTTTTTGTGTAGTATGTTTTGCCAATTGAGCTTGTTTTCCCCTGGGACCATAGTCCCGAGTGCACAGGTCTAACCACTCGCTACTTCCGGGTAGCTTAACTGTGACATTGTTCATTTCTATCAAGACCTGTTTCCCTTCCCCTCCAATCTACCTGTTGCATTTCCTTTCTAGCCATCTTGGGAATCTGAGATGAAATGCCTTGCCTAAAGTAATTTTTTGGCAAAGCTAGAACCAAAATTCTGGTTTCCTCTTCCACGTCCCCTAGTATACCACAAAACCCCATGTTGAACCCTATTGTTTACCTGGGAAGTACTAGGGATTATGATGGTCTCGTTGTCTTTTGTTGAGATGATAAAATCTTTCACTCTTGCCCTCACATGTCATTTGTCTTTTGGGCATGATTATTTTGGGGAAAGGATGAGAAGAAGTTAGGAAGTAGGGCCCAAGCAGGGACCAACCAGGTAGACTGTACTATGGGTTGGGCTGTGTGTCAACCAGTTCCATAGCCCTGGCAGGCCTGGGCCCAGCACGTAGGTCTAATGAATGTGTGGATGGATTTTTATCCTCCCTCTGCTCCCAAGATATGTACCCATATACACACAGTGTCTGAGGAAAGGAGTTTTAAGGCCATTGTAGGGACTGGTGAGAGAATAAGAGAATCTGCCTAGTCCCTGAAACCACTTGGTGCAGAACCCATCTTTTTACCCCAGGTTCTGACAAAGAGATTGATGTGATTGATGTGACCCGCCAGGCCGACTGCAAGATGAAGCTCGGTGATTTTGTGAAATATTATTACAGCGGGAAGAGGGAGAAAATCCTCAATGTCATTAGTTTGGAATTCTCTGATACCAGGTAGGAGGGGCAGGGGTAACTAAAAAGTTTAACAAAGTGCCTGGAACTTACGGTGGTTGTGTTAGTTGCCATCGATTTGATTCTACCTCATGGTGACTCCATGTGTGCAGAGTAGAACTACTCCATAGGATTTTCAAGGCTGTAACCTTTTGGAAATCTATCACCAGGACTTTCTTCCAAGGTGCCTGTGGGTGGGTTTGAACCATCAACTTTTTGGCTAGCAGTCAAGCACTTAACCATTTGTGCTACCCAAGGACTCTTTGAGCTTGAACTGAGTATATATTAGTGTTCCTTTCCCTTCCTTGTGGTGATTTCTTTCTTTGGGATAGAGAGCTGGTTTAAGCTTTCTAATCATGAAAAATAATTTCTTTTTTTGCTAAGCTGGCCTTATTAAAAAATAAATTACTTGAATTTAGCAGAAATAATAAGTATAACTGCTCATATTATAACAACTGAGTCATACTTCTCCACAGTTTCTAGCACTGAATATATTACTCAGTAGCTACATTAATTATTTTTTGTCTCTTTCAAGTCCTAGTACAAAACCTTTTTTTTCTTATAATCTTTTTCTGGTACTTAGAGTGTGGCATAGTCAGTATTTAATTGCCAGGATAAATCCTCTGTCTCTGGAAATAGATTTACTAAAATTACCCCACTACTTTTTCTAAGAATAAGATTTCTTGTATTAAAAAGAAAGAAGGAATGAAAAAACACATAATCTTTTAATGAATGAGTTAAATTATTTTATCTGGAGTCATTCACTCAATAGATTTGTAGTCTTTTCTGCTCAGAACTGTAGGAAATACCAAGAAACTGTAACATATTAGGAAATTTACTGTCTGATTATTTACTGGGTTTTTAAAAACTCTTTATTTTGAAATAATTATAGATTTGCAGGAAATTTAAAAGAATAAAAGTGTACTCTTCAGTCAGTTTCCCCCAGTGGTAAAATCTTACCTTGGTAACATAACTACAGTGCAATAGCAAAACCTTTACATGGTGCAGTGTCAGAACCTTTATCATACAAAGTTAAATAACTTGAGATATTTTTTTAAAAAAATTACATTTGTTTATTTATATGTCACTTCATTCTGAAATACTATTTGAAGTAGTTTACAGAGATGAATACTATACAGGATAGAGTGGAAAAGAAGGGAAAATTAGAACAAAAGGAGGATAAAGATGGGAAAATAGGATGTATCTGTTAGGAAGTCTACACACAAAATGAATAGTCTGGATAGTTGGTAGAGATAGGCTGTAGAGTTTTTACTGAGTCTCCCCAAGATCAGAACAAAGAGTGGAGCATGATCTTTTACAAGGTTTGTGGTTTTACATAGGACAAAAACAACCAAATGCTTGGGAGAAACACTTCTTTACTTAGAACTGATGCCTGAGAGGTTTCTCTAATGGTTCCTCATAAAGAAGACACTATGATATGGGGACAGTGCAAAATCTGTTATAAAGCAAGTGCCAAGTGGGCCTTGGTGAGAAGGAAGGGAAGTATGAACATTTAATAGAGGAAATGATCACCTTCGACTGGGGAAGGCTGTGTACTGTGTGCCCTTAGGAATTCTGTGGAGAGAAGTGTTCTCTGTCTTATCTAACCCTAACTAAGATATGGACATTTCATTCAAGCTTCAGTCTTTAATTGGAGAAATTCCCAATATTCAAAAGTATTGGAAGCTAATGGACTTTTGTCAGTCTTCTCTCAGCCTGACATCTGCTCTCCACCCCTTCCTTGCTAGGCTTTCTAACCTTGTGGAGACACCCAAGATTGTTCGGAAGCTCTCATGGGTGGAGAACTTGTGGCCGGAGGAGTGTGTATTTGAGAGGCCCAGCGTGCAGAAGTACTGCCTCATGAGTGTGAGGGATAGCTATACAGACTTTCACATTGACTTTGGCGGCACCTCAGTCTGGTATCATGTGCTCAAGGTAGGAATGGTTATGCCCTCTGGAGGGAGCCAGGCCTTGGGCCTCCGTGTTTCTGTTGGGTGGCAGCACAAAACAGGCTGCTAAGCCCTATACACCTCCCAGATTCTATTTGGTTGGCATTTCCACATGACTACTCTATCTGGATTGGGCATTTGGTGGCTACAAAGATGGCCTGTTTCTGCTGTAGAGTTTTGATGTTTAATCAGAAATATTTTTGAATACCAGCAGGTGCCTAAGGTTTTCTCCACTGTTATCTTTTTCAGTGAACCAATTTATACTACCACCAAGTATGCAGATGTCCATATTTACTTTGGAAATTCTTGATAACATTATGGGTAACTTTCCCTCACCCCAGCTTCATTGAGGCATAATTTATATACCATAAAATTTATCCATTTTAAGCATACAATTTGATGAGTTTTAACAGTTGTACATAGTCTTAACTACCACCACGATTGATAAAGTATTTATGAGTTTTTTTTTCTTTTTAATGTCAGGCTGTCTATACATAATTTTCTTCTTTAGTGGTGGTTACAATTTTGTAATTAACATTGATGGTCAGTGACTATAAAGGAGTTTTGAGGTCTAGAAAAAAATTTTTTAAATAATTGTTTTCATCATTGTTCATACAATTTAGTTTTATCAGAAACTCTAAGAAAAGAGCAGAAAATTTGAATATAGGTCTTATTCAAATGATTACAAATACTGAACTAGTTCCTGTTTTGTCAGGAAGAAATTAGAATGTATAAATGAAAGTGCTATTACGTAAATGTTAGATTTAAATTTAAAAATTTTTAAAATAATTTTATTGTTATGGAAAAGTTGCAAAATAATAGAATTCCTGTGTGTTCACACAGATTCCTTAAATGTTTTATTATATTCTCTCTCTATAAGGTAAACATAACAAAGTGGTAATATGTATATTTTTTTCTGAAACATTTGAGAGTAGCTACAGATATGATGTCTCTTTATCTCTTTATAATTCAATGTGTTGTTCCTAAAAGCAAGGACATTCTTTTGTATAACCACCATAGTTATCAAAATCAGGAAATTAACATCTATATGATACTATCACCTGCAGGCCTGACACAGATTTCTTGAACTGTACATCAGCTATTTCTTTTTTTAAAATACATTTTATTGAGATATAATTTATGTACAGTAAAATAACACAAAACTAAAGTGACATGGGTCAATGCATTATTTATTTTATTTTTATTTTTTATTTTAAGAGTTTGTTTTACATTCAATGTTACATGTATATTTACTTTCACTCCCCATTTACCATGCCCAACCCTAACCCAGTCCCCTCCCCTCCCTGTCCAGTAACCCTCCCTTTGTGCCCCTCATAATTATGTACTTCTGTTTGTCATGCATTTCCTCTGTGTGAATGTTGCCCCTCTGATGCCCTGTGGTCGATTGCTGCAAGGGATGCATTTCCACAGAGTATGTGGGTGCGTCATCTTGGGTTGAGTGGTCTGCATGTACATCTTGTTAACTATTGGGAAGAGCCAGCCCTTGGGAGTGAGTTTTATTCCAGGTGCAGAATGTATTGCAGGTCCATAGTATTGGGGGTCTCACCAGACTCCATCCGACCAGTAATTCTGGTCATTATTGAGTTTTTGGAATTTGTTCCGCATTTTTCTCCCACTCTATCCAGGATCTCCAGATTTGATCCTTTCCTGAGTGAGTTGGTATTGGTAGGCAGTCACCAATGTTGTAGCTTTCTACATTGAAAATTCTTATTGTGAAATACTGGTTAAACAAATGAAGCTGTGGGTTAGGGATATCTTTGTACTAATGGGTTTTTGTTTTATTTTGCCAAATTATCTCTGATGATTATCCAGGCAAAGCACAATTAGTAAATAAAATGTTCTTTCAACAGATAATCACCTAACATAAAATCTTTCATAAGTCTTTGGGCAATTACTGAACTTTTAAACTGTATCAGTTTTGATTGCACGTATGAGAGGAAATACTCTGTAAATGGCATCTAAAGGCAAATTCAATTTCCTTCTCATCAATAATGTGGTCTTAAATTCTCCTCAGGCTAGTAGTATTGATCTACTCATCTGTAGAGGCCATTTTTCTTTTGCCATGGCATCTAAAATAGGAGCCCTTGGTGTACCTTTGTTCTAACTTGAACAGTTTTGTTTGAAATACCCTTTTTAAATTGTTTTTGCCAATCCTATGAGCTGAATTATTATGTAAAGTACAATAGGATCTTTTTAAATTTTCCTGATGTATGTAAAAATTATTCTTGTCTCGGTTTAGGAAAGAATTCTGTACTACTATGGTCTTGGAATGTAGGAGAGAGAATAGCCCCTTGGAGCCCCTCTGGAGGATTTTTCTGGAAACCTTTGGTAGTTTTGGTACTTTAACCTTTTTTTTCCCCCTAGGGTGAAAAGATTTTCTACCTGATCCGCCCAACCAATGCCAACCTGACTCTCTTTGAGTGCTGGAGCAGTTCCTCTAATCAGAATGAGATGTTCTTTGGGGACCAGGTGGATAAGTGCTACAAGTGTTCCGTGAAGCAAGGACAGACACTTTTCATTCCTACAGGTCTTCACTGGATTCCTCTGGGAGGGTTTTGGGAAGGTGGGAAAAGGAAAGTGCTTGTGGCAACAGAGCCAACCCCTCCCCACAATGCATTAATCTGAGCAAGTGGGATATCCCTCTCTTACCTGCTGAAGGCTCAGAACTGGGCTTCAAGAAATTTCATATGGTAGTTAGTGGGCAGCATGAGCACTAGGGGAAGCTGCAGTTGGGAAAGTCTAGGTGGAGACTGATGGGCTTCTTTGCACTGGGCTGATGTCAAGTTGGTGGACAAATAGAGTACAGGACTTTCAGTCCCATGACTCTAGGGAAAGGGGAGGCTGGCTGTAAATCAGAATGACTTGAGGTAGGGTTGGATATTTTTTTCTCCTAAACAATACATGCCTGGCCTTCACTCTTAGATATTAATTGTTATGTCTGGGGTGGAGTCAAAATGAGTATATTTTGAAACAGTCCCCTCAGTTGTCTCAGTTGGAGTGAATTGACATTTTTACTATGTTGAGTCTTATAATCCATGAGCATTGTGTGTCTTATCATTTATTTAGATCTTTGTTTTATTAATTGGAATTAGTGTTAAATTTTCTTGAAATGTGTGGTAGAATTCTCCAGTGAAGTCATGTGGACCTGGAGATATTTTGGGGAGTTTTTAGTTTGAATTTAATTTTCTTCATCTTTATAAGATATTCAGATAATTTCATATTGAGTGAGTTGTGCTTTACATGGAATTGGTTCATTTTATCTAAGTTGTCAAATTTGTGTGTATAAATTTGTTTGTAGTCTTTTCTTTTTATTCTTTTGGTATCTTCCAGGTCTTTAATAGGAGTTCTGGTGGTGTAGTGCCTAAGGCATTTGACTGCTAACCAGAAGGCTGGTGGTTCAAACCCCACCAGTCACAAGAAGGGGCAATCTACTTCTGTTGTGATACTGCCTCAGAAACCCAAGGAGGGGTCGCTGTGAGTCGGATCTGACTCTATGGCAGTGAGTTTGGTTTGTTTTTGGTTTATGTCTTTAGTGATATCCTCTGTTTCATTTCTAATACTAGGAACTTGTGTCTTCTCTTTTATTCTGTTTTGTTGTTGTTGTTGTTGTGTGCCGTCGAGTCAAACCCGACTCATAGCGACCCCTCCTTGAGTTTCCGAGGCAGTATCACTACGGAAGTAGGATTGCCCAACCTTCCTTCCGAGGAGTGGCTGGTGGGTTTGAACCGCCAGCCGTCTGGTTAGCAGGCAAGTGTCTTAGCCACTATGCTACCAGAGCTCCCTTATTCTGTTTTAGTCTTGCTAAAGATTTGTCAATTTTATTGATCTTTTCAGAGCTACTTTTTGTTTCATTGGTTTTCTATATTGTCTTTTTGTTTTCAGTTTCATTGATTTCTGCTTTTATCCTTATTTTTCTTTCCTTGTGCTTGCTTTGGGTTGATTTTGTTCTCTCTCTCTCTCTCTTTTTTTTGTTTCTTGGGGTGGAAGTTTAGGTTATTGATTTGAGACTTTCTTTTCTAATGTAAGCATTCAGTGCTATAAATTTTCTTTCAACATTAATTTAGTTATAGCCCACAAATTTCATTCAGTTAAATATACTTTTTAAAAATTGCAATATGTGTCTTCGTCATTATAGTTTATGTGTGTATATATATATATATATAAAAACATGAAGATTATAACTTTCATGATCATATAAAGACATATGTATACATAAAAGACTTACAACCTTGGAGACCCTAAAAATAATTGAGATATAATCCACCTATCCTAAAATTTATCATTTTAAAAGGTACAATTCAGTTGTTTTTAGAATATTTTAGAATATTCACAATGTTGTACAACTAGTACTATGTATCAGAAAATTTTCATCACCCCCAAAAGAAACCTTGTTAGCAAGCATTTCTTATTCCTTTCTTCCTTCAGCTCCTACCAATCACTTTTTTTAAAAAAAAATAATTAATCTATTTATTTTTACAGTGTTCCTTCTCCTCCCTTAGAAGGAAGGTTGGGCAATCTGCTTCCATAGTGATCCTGCCTCGGAAACCCAAGGGGAGGTCACTATGAGTCAGGTTTGACTCGACGGCACATAACAACAATGGCTAATGATTGTGAACATTTCTTCATTTGTTTGTTGGCTGCCAGAATATCCTCTTTTTTTTTTTTAATTGTGATTTGGGTGAAAGTTTACAGAGAAAATTTCACTTTTCAGACAGCCGTTCACATACCTGAATATCCTCTTTGATGAAGTGTCTATTCATGTCTTCTGCCCATTTTTTAAATTGGATTATTTGTCTTTTTGTTGTTGAGGTGTTGGACTTTTCTGTAAATTTTAGAGATAAGTCCCTTGTCAGATATGTCATTGCCGAATATTTTTTTTTCCAATCTGAAGGTTCTCTTTTTAGTCTTTCGGAGAAGTCTTTTGAAGCACTTAAAAATTTAATTTTTAGAAGGTGCCATTCATCTAGTTTATCTTCTGCTGTTTGTGCTGGCAGTTACTTTTGTACTTTCTTTCTCTATAGATTTACCTATTCTTGGTATTTTTTTATAAAAGGAATCACACAATATGTGGTCTTTTGTATCTGGCTTCTTTCAGTTGTTGTTGTTGTTGTTGTTGTTGTTGTTATGTGCTGTCGAGTTGGACCCGACTCATAGCGACCCTTCCTTGGATTTCTGAGGCAGTATCACTATGGAAGTAGATTGCCCAACCTTCCTTCTGAGGAGTGGCTGGTGGG